CCCACTCAAATTTTTAAAAAAGTTAAAAACTACTACCTGCTCTGAAGCAGGGGGTTTGCAGATATAAAAGCCAGCAGTGTAAGAGGAAGGGACACCTGAGCTGGGATGAATGGGAAGAGCCTTTCTGGGCTCTCAATGACTACGCAGAAGACTTAGGAGACTCCAGGACAGAGGCACAGGAGGAGGTCTTAGAGACAGGCAGGGGCCAGACCATGCAGGATGGAGTGGGCCACAGCTCAGCAGGGTCCAGGAAGTTCCGGAGAGGAGAAGCAGAGGATGTGCGTGTGCAAGATCTCTGGCTACTGCGGTGGGTGGGTGGTGGGTAGTGGGAATGGGAGGCTGAATGAGCCCAGCTGACTGCGGGACAGGTGTTGGTAAACTTTTCTTGGAAGGGGCCAGGCTGTAAATATTTTAGGCATGTGGGCCAAAAGGCAAAAAATCTAGAATACAATGTATATACTCATATAACAAAAGAGAAAACAAACCTCCACAAAATATTTACTGACAAAACTCAGAACATAGTAATAATAATTGAGGAGAATTTTTAAAATTCAAGCCTACTAGTGAGAAGAATGGAATTCTTTGAGGAATAACATTTTGCTTAATTGGTGTTCGCTGCTGTAGCATAAAAACAGTCATAGACAAAATGCATGAGTGTGGCTGTGCTCCAATAACACTATTTATGGATTGCAATGTGAATTTCATATACTTTTCACGTGTCGCAAAGTATTACTTTCCTTTTAATTTTTTTTCCAGCCATTTGAAAATGTAAAAACCAGTTTTAGCTGGAGGATGATAAAAAACAGGTGGTGAGCTGGCTGTGGCCCAGAGTCCCTGGTTTGCCAGCTTTTGTTGCAGAAGTTCCCATATTCTGCATGTGTCTGATTGCTTGCTCATGAGGTCATTCATTCTGGGCAGATTACCACAGGGTGACGCTCTGTGCGCCTCCTTGTATCCAGCAGAGGCTTGTGATAGGAGGTCATTCCATTACACGTGACGGTAAGTTTGATGCATTTTAAAGAGACGTTTTCCCCTTTGCAGTAAGAAGCATCTATGGGTGATGCTTCTGACCCTGAGAACATCTTTTTCCCCCACAACCTTTCACTCTGGTTTTAGCTTTCATGGATGATCCTTGTCTGAATCAATCATGACACTGGAAGTTACAAATCAATTTGGATATGATTTTTTTTTCTCTTTTAACCTTTTAAATTGTCCAGTACCACAAATAGAAAAGCACATAAAATAATTTTGTGTAGTTTAACATGTTTCTATAAAGTGATACTGTATGTCATCGCCACCTATGTCAAGAATTAGAGTCTTGCCAGCACTCTAGAAGCACCCAGGGCCTTTCTGATCCTGAGTCCCCCACTGTCCTCCCAAAGGGTGCCATCTCCTGATTTTACGGTGATCCCTTTCTTGGTTTTCCTCATAATTCTACCAGCTTGTCTTGCATTCCTAAACACCGTAGTTTATTTTTTTTCTGTTTTGGAGCTTTATATACATGGGATCATACAGCATGTATTCTCTTGTCAGGTGGCTATTCCTCCATGTTGTTGCATGTATTGTTGATTCATTTTCACTGCTGTATATTACTTTATAGCATGACCATAACACACATTTTATCAATCCATTCTGCCGTTGATGGACACGGGGGGTTGTTTCCAGTTTTGTGCTATTCATGCTGCTACAAACGTTCTTAACATGTCTTTTGGGTCATGCAGGCACACACTTCTCTTGGATATCTACCTAAGATGCACATGTTTAACTGTGGTAGGTGCTGTGAAATGGTTTTCCAAAGGGTTTATATCAATTTACACTCCCACCAGCAGTGTATGAGAGTTTCCATCACTCTGCATCCTTGCCAACATTTATCATTTTCTTCTTTATAATTCTGAATGATTTTAATGGCTGCTTCATATACCATTGAGAGAATATATAATACATTATTGAATCTCCTATCATAAAAAATATGGGTTGTTTTTTGTTTCTTTCTTTTTGGTTATTATTACAAGTAATACTTTCATTAATCTTCTATAGCTATATATTTCTGTATATCTATGATTAGTTACTTAAATAAAAATTACCTGAAGTGAAGCCACGTCAAGAAAATTACTTGAAGTGAATCTAGGTCCGTTTTTTACTGACAAATTGTATCTTAGGGCATTTCACTAAGTTTTGCTTCCACCAAAAGTTATAAGTGTCTAGTTCCTAATACTCCAGCCAACATTTAAAAAGTATCGCACTAAACTGATAGATAAAAATGGTTTTTCATTATTTTAATTTGTTCTTATTAAACTGTAGTGAGGTTAATATATTTGTATTTCTTCAATCTAACCATATCCTGTACCCATCTTTGCATTCATCATTTCCATAGTAATCTGTAAGAGCTCTTTATATGCTAAATATATTAATTATTTGCCTTTAACATGTATTGTAAGTATACATGTTATTTTTCTACATAAATGTAGAAAATAAGTTTTAAGAAAATATTAAAATTTACGTGATTATTTTACTCCTAAATTGACCTGTTCTTCAGAAAGAGAGAGAGAAATGAAGGAGAGAATGCAAAAAATTTAACCAAAGGTAGAATTATTTTTTATTACGCGTTTAAGCATCTTTAAAGAAGGAATTCCCTAATGAAATATTAAATGTTCTTGTCAGCATTATCGAATTCTCTTCTGATCTTTGTTATTTATCACATATATTAAGTAGTTGATTTCATTATGCACAAAATATGTTTTTTGTTGGTTGGTTTGTTTTGAGACGGAGTCTCATTTTGTCGCCCAGGCTGGAGTGCAGTGGCGCCATCTCGGCTCACTGCAAGCTCCACCTCCCGGGTTCACGCCATTCTCCTGCCTTAGCCTCCCGGGTAGCTGGGACTACAGGTGCCCGCCACCATGCCCCGCTAATTTTTTTGTATTTTTAGTAGAGATGGGGTTTCACCGTGTTAGTCAGGATGCTGGATCTCCTGACCTCGTGATGTGCCCGCCTTGGCCTCCCAAAGTGCTGGGATTACAGGCGTGAGCCACCACGCCCAGACAAAATGTGTGTTGTTTCTAATCCATCATTTTATACCTACTTTTCCATATTAGCATAGATGTAAATTGTTGGGTTTTTTTTGACAGGTATCTCACTCTGTCGCCCAGGCTGGAGTGCAGTGGTGCAATCTTGGCTTACTGAAAACTCCGCCTCCCAGGTTCAAGTAATTCTCCCTGCCACAGCCTCCTGAGTAGCTGGGATTACAGGCGCCTGCCATCACACTCGGCTAACTTTTGTATTTTTTAGTAGAGATGGGGTTTCGCCATGTTGGCCAGGCTGGTCTTGAATTCCTGACCTCAGGAGATCTGCCCACCTTGGCTTCCCAAAGTGCTGGGATAACAGGCGTCAGCCACTGTGCCCCGCCAGATGTAAGTTTTAATTACCATCACTGCATAAGGCAATTTTTAATTAACAGTATGACATAACACATTTCATTTATTTCTTGTAAGCCATTTAAGATGTATTTTTTCACTAGAGTAAATAGCATTGCTTGACATATCCTTGCATAAATTCTTTTTGGCATTTTTAGGGTTAAATTCTTAAATCAGTCTCAAAAATAAAACTACCTGATTATCAGGGGAAAAACTATGATACATACACATTTACTGTTTTCTTAGAGAAGACTCCAGAAAGACCTGTTTAACTTTTACTGAGTCCTAGACATTTGTCTGTCACCAGCAATGTTTAAAAAGGATTATTTTCTCAAACCTCCAATAGCATGGGTTTTGTTCAGTTTATTTACTCTGGCTAAATTTATGGGTACATCATGTATTTGCAGTTATTCTAAGTTGTACTTCTTCAGTGCTTGCAAGATCCATATGATAGCTTCATGTGTGTTTACTTACAAATCATCACTTTGCGGCACTGACCTTGAATTTGATTTTGGGTCAAATTCAGCAGTGAAACTTCAATACTTATTCCTATTCTTTGTTTATATTGGTCAGAAAGCTCTCAAATGTAATTTATACTATGTGCTTTCTTTTTACTCTCTTGCAGGGCAAGTGCCAAGGTCCAGGCAGGTCTACGCCCTTGGCACCTCAGATAGGGTCGGTATACAAAACTAACGTCACATGGGGTGACATCTCAGGCATACTCTCACTCTCACTAGGGCCTGTGGTCATGCAGCAGGGGCCGCAGGCTCTCCCTTCATAGCCAACACTCCTCAGGGCCATGTCATCTGCGCATCGGAGGGAGGGCTGCACCTGGTGAGGAGGATGGCAGGGAGGTTCTGTTCCTGGCTTCTGCTGACTTGGCTCACACCATCCCTAAACAGCCCTGTCTCTGTGTGCCGTACCGTCATCTCGTTCATTTTCCCACTGAAAACAGAAGCTGTGGAGCTGGTGCGAGACGTCCCTCACTGAAGTGGTGTGAGGAATGGAGAATGAGTGTGAGAAGTGCTCCTGGTTTTCTTTAGAGGAAAAGGTTGCTGTAAGCATTAAGCACTAGCATTTTTCTGAAACTGTGTGTGGGTGGTGGTGATTTTTGCCCCACAAGGGGACATCTGGCAATATATAGGGCCATTTTTTTTACTGCCAAAATTGTGGAGGGGTGCTACTGGCATCTAGTGGGTAGAGGCCAGGGATGTTGCTAAATATCCTACAATGCATAGGATAGCTCAAACAACAAAAAAAATCTGACCCCAAATGTCAGTGGTGCCAAGGCTGAGAATCCCTGTTCCAAAACAAAATGACCACCCTCAGTGGCCCCCTTCTAGATCCAAACCAAACTATGAAACCAAGAGAAAGCGTTCAGCAACACAAACTGAAATAGCCTTGATTCAATCTTGTGTAGATAGGGAAACTTCATGTAAGGATTTTATATTTCGTTGTGGCATTTCCTATTACACTAGCTTACTAGAGCCTAGTACAAGGGGACGGAAGCTCAAGCTATCATCATCACCATCCAGATTCCACACTGGAACTTGACTTCACAATGCCTCATTGGCTGTGCACTTTGGCATGGCCCCTCACGTAAGGTTTCCAGTGAGACAGAAAGTCACTCAGACTCGTGAGCCTGTACCAAGCAGCAGGCATGAGAAGGGAAATAAGGTAGACATCAGTAGACCAATGAGGTGGAGGTGGAAGCTGCTGAAGAATGGGGAGAGAAATGGCTGAGCCAGGCTGGTTTGGAATCAGACTCTAAACTGCCAGATCCAGCTACCTAAGATGCCCCCTGCCACAGGGAAGGTAGGCAGAGCTGCTTCTGAACATTTAAAACCTTCTGCTCAAGTGTATTCAAGCAGTTTATGCTCCACAGCAAATCAATCAGAAAAAAAAGGTCTTACCGGGGGTGCTGATGGTGGGGGAGGGGGAGGAGCCCCCAGAGGCGGGGGAGGCGGAGGCAGAGGAGGTGGTGGCGGCGGTGGCACTGGCATGTGTCACGGTGTTGATATCTCCTGCTTATGAATGGTCCCAAGAGAGTGGCTTCTGCTCTGAAAAAGAGAAAAAGGATGGCTTTAAACTTGGATTTCTTTACTTATATGCTGGAAATGCATATCTTGCAGATATATGCATATTATAGGCAGCTTGATTCTTTCACCTGTTCATTCATTCATTCATTCATTCATTCATTCATTCACTTGTTCATTAATTTATTCACGGAGTGCCCACTGTGAGGCAAGCCTTGTGCTAAGTGCTGGAGATTGACAAAAGCAGCCAGATTCTAGAGACAATTAGGTGTTAAAACTGATAGAATTTAGCTATTTGTGTCGCAACACAAATAGAATATATATATATATACATGTATATATATAGCAATTCTTCATTCCATAATAATTTTTCCAGATAACTGACTCCTACCTCTTTAGCATTAAATTTTTAGTTTTATCATTTTCAATCATTCTGCATAGACTCCCATTTTCCTAAGCAGAGCAAATAGAATGAAATGTAACCTTTTCTGAATGTCACAGGCTCCACATGAACTCAGGACGCCAGCTTCGAGCAAGGCTTAGGGCGTTAGTCATTTTCCTGCCTCTTTCTCTTCTGTCAGCTCTTACTTTCCCTGCTATTCCTGTGTCATCATTTCTACACAGCCATCTGGATGAGGATGGGCCACCCCTCTCCTCTGCCTAGACTTTCTATCTGGTATTTGCTATGCAGGGGGCTTTTTGGCATGATTCTACAAACATGATTCTGTTTCAAATAGTTAATATTATAGGAGGTCTGATCTCCAGATAAATGTGTGGAGCCTGTATGTGTGAATGCATGTGTGTGTATGTGGGTGTGTGTCTTAGAACCCATAGCAAGGCACATTGCAAGGACTTAAAATCTGTATTAAAGAAAAACCCCATTAGTTTACAAGAATTGGAAAAACCTATATAAGAACCTAAAAGCAATCAAAGCAGAAACTGAAATAAATCTCACACTTGGGCAGGGGTGATTTTGTGTTCCTGCTGTCCCTTTAGTCACTGGAGGACCAGAACAAAGCCTGTCCCTCTGTTATTTCATCTTTAAAATCCTGTGGCATTTATATTTTTTCATGTCAATATTCTTGTCTCCACAGAGGCCAAAAGCATTTATGTAATGTGATGTTTTCTTGTTAGCATAGTCCACTGAATTTTGCTCACCTAATATGTTAGTTTTTATCTTTTTATCAATGGCAATCATGTGACACACTAATCACACTTATTTCTATAATAATCTTCTAAGGTCAGGGCTTCAACGCCCTAGCATACCCCTTTTTATAGGTAAAGAAAAGGATGTTCAGAGACATTAACTCTTTTGCTCAAAGTCACCTATACTATAACTAAGCCTTGGGATTGGAACCAAGGCTTAACAGGTTCTAAAGTCCAAGAATATCAGATTTATCATTTTAACCCCTTTTAAGTACACAATTCAGTGGCATTAAGTGCATTCACAATGCTGTGCAACCAGCACCACTATCCATTTCCAGAACTTTTTCATCATGCCAAACAGAAACTCTGTACCCATAAAACAATAACTCCCCACTGTCTCCTCCCCTCAGCCCCCAGTAACTTCTGTTCTACTTTCTGTCTCTATGAATTTGTCTAGTCTAGGTACCTCATATATGTGGAACCATACAATATTTGTCTGTTTGAGTCTGGCTTATTTCATTTAGCATAATGTTTTCAACCTTCATTCATGTTGTAGCATGGATCAGAAATTCATTCTGAATTATTCCATTGTACATATACACCACATTTAGTTGAACCATTCATCTATTGGTGAGTGCCTGGGTTGCTTTCACCTTTGGGGTGTTGTGAGAAATGCTGCTATGAACATTGGTGTACAAATATCTCTTCAAGACCTTGCTTTTCATTCTTTTCAGCGTATATGCAAGAGTGGAATTGCTGGATCTTATGGTACCATCTTTTTTCCCAGCAGGGTTAATCTAAAATTGTATAAAAATTGTAAATGGCATAAAATATGTGTGTCAGTACAACTTTTTTGGGGAAAGAGTCCATCATAGTTTTCCTAAGAGTTCCAAGGAGGTACATAAGCTGATTGTTGTACACAACTACACTTTTCTTACGAAGTATTTCAGGCTCCTTGAAAAAAGGAGCCTGATCATCACTGTGTTACTGCCTCATTCCTTGATATTAAAACAAGAATGGAAAGACAGAAAAAGAAAATACTCATCGGAGTCCACACCATAAAACCGTAGTGAAATTGAGCAGAGATCTCATGGGGTAGTACGTGTTTCTTTCAGGTAACATCTATGTTATTTTATTACTAAAACTAAACTAATGGTGTACTAAGCTAATACACACAATGACATAGGGTCAGACACAATTAGCATTTTACAGGCTGATGCTAAGGCAACTTGGATGCAGGCCCACAATTTAGTTGGAACAAGCATAAATTATCAGATATTTGTATTTTAACAGTTTCTTTTACAGGAGGCACTGGGTCTATTTTTTTATGATCTTTTATTCAATGGCAAAATATTTTCAGTCAAAAATTTATAGCAAGGATTAAAGAGTTGGTTGAAGTATTAACAGAACAAGAGAATATAGAGAGGTCTCATTATATAAGGATCTCATCTTTTAACTAAGACACATGACAGGAGACAGAAATGCTTCCCCTGGTGAAAAACCAGAAAGGGTAGGGAAGAATAACCTTTAAAAACTGAAATACCACTTACCTAAGGGTTTTTTCATTTACTTAAGAAAAAATAACTGTATAGAGAGACTTTAAGGAGAACTGCGGCAGAGCTATTCCTTTAATCCCTCAGCACAGGGCTAGATTACAACTCCCAGTCTCCCTTGCAGTTAGGTGTGACCATGAGACTGAGTTCTGCTTAATGCAATGAAGGTCGAAGTGATGTGCTATTACTTCTGGCTGGTTCAGAAAGACCTTCTGCCCATGACTTTTCTCTTTCTCCACCCATCGACTGGTAGCAAAGGTCCTATGTGTTGGCAGAGTCACAAGATCAAGGAGTCCAGGTCCCTGACTCACCTGTAAGACCACCTGCCAAACACCTGATTAGACTTTACAAATGTGAAAAATAAACTCCCATTGTGTTAAGCCATGAAGATTTTTGAGTTAATTTGTTTTATCCACTAATATTGAACCTATCCAATATAGGAACTAAACAAAATACAGTCAATTCTCATTATTCACTATAGTTATGTTTAGAAAGTTGTCATGAACACAGAGTGTGATGATTACTTTTATGTGTCAACTTAATTGGGCTAAGGGCTGCCCATCTGGCTGGTAGAACATAATTTCTGGGTGTACCTGTAAAGGTGTTTCCAAAGCGGGTTAGCATTTGAATCTGTAGATGGAGTAAAGGTCTCCCTCACCATTGTGGGTGGGAGCCATCTAATCCATTGAGGGCCTGGATAGAACAAGACAACCCATGGCCAAAGACACTAGGAGTCATGTCTGAACAAATCTTATCTAACACTTGTATTTTCTCCATAAGGCACATCGCAGCCTTCTTGGGCTTAAGAATACTAGGCAGCACTTCAAGCACTTCGCTGGGGGCCATTTTAAACTGCAAAACCACCAACAATAAATAAAAAATTTGGAAAAACCGTGGCATCACACAGACTGCGAGAGGGACACTTGTTTATAGGATGAGAGCTGAAACAAGAAGGCAGTGTCCTGTTATTTCAACTCAGCTGGGAACATGCTTGTCAGTGTCTACAGTTTTTCACCACTTTTCACATGCCTGGGAATGACCACAAAAGCACCGTGAGTACTGATTTTGGAGTTGCAAATACACTTTAGTGAGTACACGTAGGTGAATTTGCAAATGTAGAATCTGCAAGTAATAAGGATTGGCTGTATACCTTTTTGACTCTCCCACCCAGTAGGTGCTCAGCACTGCACTGGGGACTTCTAAGACGTTTTATGTAATCCTCTCAACTGTGTGGTAGATGCTGATATTTCCATATAACAAATAATCCAACTTTGCCTCAGATAAGTATGCAATTTCTACTAAATTTCAGAAAGATCAGCAGAGCTGAGTTTAAAACCCTGGTTTTTCTGATCTAAAACCTCATTTCTTTTATTTTTGGGACAGAGTCTCACTCTGTCACCCAGGCTGGAGTGCAATAGCATCATCTCGGCTCACTGCAACCTCCACCTCCTGGGTTCAAGCGATCCTCCCACCTCAGCCTCCCAAGTAGCTAGGACTACAGGTACACACCGCCACCCCTGGCTAATTTTTGTATTTTTAGTATAGACGGAGTTTTGCCATTAAAACCTCATTTCTACTGCACTGCATTACTTTATTAGCTTGATATGATTCAGGTCAAGTTACATCCCTGATTCCATTTTGCAAAGATTTAAAAATATTTTTGAGACCATTAAGTGAAAGAAACCCCATAAAGGTGACTGTAATTCTTCTGCTTGCTCCTCCCTCACCTGAGCGGCCTTGGTTTCTATCTAGTTCTATCTTCAGGAATGTGGGAATGCTTAGGTGCCACCCAGATGCCGCCTTGCTGAAGTTACAGGGAAGAATTTTTCAAAATCCAGGATTGGAGGATAGTTTTATATGTAGTGTTTGACGGCTGTGAAAGGCTTTTTTTTTTTTTTTTTCAGATACAATAATTAAGCAATTATCTAAAGAAGTATATGTTAAAATCTGACAGTTGAGAATGCTGAGCTCCAGGAAGTCAGGGGCTGCACCCAAGAGCTCTTCAAGGCTTTGTGTTCTCTCGACCCACTTAAAAATGTTGTTTTGCTCTGAAATGTATTTAAAATGTTTAGGATTTAAAGGCCAGATTCTCAAAGGCTTTTATACTTTCTCCCAATTCATGAACTATCTGAAAAACAGCATTGAAATGCACATACAAACACCATTAGAGGGTGGTGAGGGAAACAGAACTAACAACAACTTCCATGGGAGGCCCAAATACAGGAGCTGGTCTCAGAACCAGACGGCCCTGGGTTCTGCTTCCACCTTTCCCTTTTCCTGGCTGTGTGGTTTTGGTCAGGTCCCTTTACCTTACTGGGCCTCCTTTTCTTCATTTGTAAATTAGGAGCTATAATGCTTAATTCTCTTTGTTGTCACTATTAAAACAAACACTGTATATGAAGACATAGTACACGTCCTGACACATACATGGAAGTGATACTTATCATCATAACTACGTTAAAAGCAGGAGTCAGTTTAGGCCCGGTGGCTCATGACTGTAATCCTATCACTTTGGGAGGCCGAGGCGGATGGATCACTTGAGGTCAGGAGTTCCAAACCAGCCTGGCCAACATGGTGAAACCCCGTCTCTACTAACAACAAAAAAAAAGGTGTGGTGGCAGGCTCCTGTAATCCCAGCTACTTGGGAGGCTGGCTGAGGTGGGAGAGTGGCTTGAATTGGGGAGGCAGATTTTCAGTGAGCCTAGATTGCGCCACTGCACCCCAGCCTGGGCAACAGAGCGAGACTCTGTCTCAAAAAAAATAAAAAATAAAAAAGGCGGGAGTCAGATAAATGCCCCAGGACGGGTAGAGAGTGCTAAGGGATAGCATCATCCATTCAAACTTAAGGAGGAGGCACAATAAAGAAACACTTGGTAGAAGTGATCTTATTTTTCACCAGGCAGAGAGGTGAATAGAGGAGTCTGTTCTAGTAAGCAGGAGCAGCAAATACTCAGAGATTCGGAAGTGGGAGAACACAAGCAGCCTGGGAGGCTCTGCATGTGTCAGGGAGAAGAGGAAAAGGCTGCCATGATGGAGGCTCTTCAATGACACTCGGCTATCCTGCAAGCGTCTTCTTCCTTGGGCCGGGGTGCTCACCTGTCTTGTGGTTGCCCACCGTCTTTTGAACACTTACCCTATGCTGGAGGAATTTTCCACATTGTGAGTCTCACCTCCTCCAGCCAGAAGCAGGAACTCCTTCCCCAGCATCCCTTGCCAGTAGGGAGCGGGCTGTGACCACCCACTCAGAGGTGGGCTAGATAACAGGTGAAAGGGCACGGATGGGACATGGCTACAGGACGCGAGCCTGGGTCTGCAGTGGGAGCCCCTGTCAGCATGGATTGGGTGATATTCCATGGGAATACGAGCCCAGTATTGGCCAGAACCCCCTACTTCCCTCTTCCAAAAGCCCCATATCTATCTAGATTTTCGCACAAAGTTCAATTTTGAAATCTGGGTATATAATTTAAAAAGCATTTTTAAAAGCCAGTGGGCCACAGAGCACAGAGCACATCTGCAGGTCGCAGAGGACCTGCACGGCAACCTTTTTAGCGGGAGCTATTCCAGGGTGAGGGTACGGGCGCCCTACTTGATCCCTTTCTTTCCCTACATGATCAGCCTGTCTGTACCCTTCAGAAGTGATGTGGACTGAGCTTGCCTCTCTTTTAATAAAAATTTATATATGTCTGTGTTCCAACCACACTTTGTGAGTTATTTCAGACAGAAAGAACTCATGGTAAGCAATTTTACACACTAGTTGCTCTCGTCAAACTCTTTTTTTCCCCCAAGAGTAGCCTGTGAGAGTACAGCTGTTCACACACAGAAAGTGTGCTTACATTTTAAAACATAAACAAGAAAGATTACTGCTACCGCCTGACAAAAGCATGTGGGCTGGTGGCTCATACCTGTAATCCCAGGACTTTGGGAGGCCGAGATGGGTAGACAGCTTGAGCCCAGGAGTTCAAGATCAGCCTGGGCAACATGGCAAAACCCCATCTCTACAAAAAATACAAAAAAATTAGCCAAGTGTGGTGGTGCACACCTGTAGTCCCGGCTACTCAGGAGGCTGAGATGGGAAGATCACCTGAGCCTGGGGAAGTCAAGGCTGCAGTAAGCTGTGATTGTACGACTACAGTCCAGCCTGGGCGACAGAGTGAGGCCCCATCTCAAAACAATAATAATAATAAAATAACACATTTGACTAGGAATCTGCAAACAAGGTACTCTGTGCAATCCTAACTTTGTATGTTTTGACACTGTTCCTCTTTCAAAGAAACACATCCCTTGTTTCTTTGGTTATAAAATGGGGCAGAGGGAGAAGAATAAAGATTTCTCACTTCTGAATGAATGAAGGCTAATAAACCCCATGACACAATATATATCTCATATTATGATCTCAGTAGGGTCCTGCTACCTCTAAGGGTCCATCATTCATCTATTAAAGGTACCTTGTGGCCAGGAAATAGCAGCCCACAAGCCCACATGCAAACGAGATACAAATAAAGGGGTTCTCAACATAAATGTAGTAAAGTTTCTAAAGCTGTAAGTAAAATAATAAAATAATTTTATTTTTTAAACTTCTCTCCAGGTGATGATGAGAACGATTTATGATGGTCACTTTCTGTTGTCACTTTCTTGTCACTTAATGAGCAAATTCTCTGGCCACATCTCTCTCCTTGGACTTCCAACCTATGAGATCTCATGCCCCACCTACCACTTCTGTCAGTTAAGACTGTCCTCTTTTTGGCCAAATGGAAGTTGCTGCTCTCACTCTTCTCAATGATATAAAAAATCTGTAAATATTTAGCTTTTGTGGGAAGGTGGGGCAGGTTGGCCTGAGTAAGCAGAGAAGCCAGGAAGAGGATTGGGGGAAATCTGATGAAAAAAATCACTGAGCATGTATTTGTGCTCTAGATAACAGTGAAGCAAATTAGCCCTGACACAGCCCTTACTATGTATCAGGCACTGTCCTTAGAGCATTTCATATATTAGCCCTTTTCGAGGCACCACGACACCCCAATGAAATAGATACCATTATTATCTCCATTCTCCAGATGAGGCAATTGAAGGAAGGAGAGGTCAAGGAACTTGCCCAAGGTCACACAGTCTCAGTAGTGGAGGAGTTGGTACTCAAACCCAGAGTGTCAGGCTCCAGAGGCCAGGCTCTTAAGCACCATACTAAGTAAGGTCACTTGTATACAAATGACTTTCATGGTTTTTGCAATAGCCGCATACCACCTAAACTCATATTTATTCAACATTTACTATATATCAAGTCATGCTTTCAGTTAAATAAGTTTATTTTGGAAAATAAACTTTATTATCATAAATGGAAAACCAATACCACTTGGTTTGTAATAATGGGAAGTAATAATAAGAATAAATGGAAGGTAATAATAAGAATAAATACAGGATCTCAGGAAGAATAAACACTTGGAAGGTAATAAAAAGAAAGAAAGTAATAATAAGAATAAACACAGCCATTATTTAAAAATGTTTATATACTCTCTAAACTCATCTCCAGTTTCCCCAGCAACACCTAAACCAGGCTTTGGGGAACAGTGATCTAGGTGGTATTTACCAAACTCCAGTCGAGGGTGAGTCACCGGAGATCTTGTTAAAATGCAGATTCTGGTTCAGCTGATTCAGTAGGTCTGAGTTGGGGCCTGGGATTCTGCATTTCTAACAAGCTTCTGGGTAAGGCCAACACTGTGCATCTGGGGCCACGCTGAACAGCTCTCCAATGTGGAAGGCTGTAAGAAAGGCACCATCTCCGCACAGACCTCTGGGAGCAGAATCTCTGGGAGCATCTTATCTACAGGGGGGTTTTATGCTCGCTAAAGTTTGAAGAACCCTGCTCTAGAACATCAAGGATGATGAAAGCATTCTGTCTCCCATTGAGTCAGAAGTTGTGGCCTCTACTGAAAAGGCTCATTTTCATGTAGATTCATTTAATTTCAGCAGGCTGGGTCCATGCAAATAGCTACTGTACTTGGAATTGATTATGACATACAAAGTGAAAGGGAAACCATCGCTCTCACACAGGCGATATGAAGGACTTCTGACACCTGAGAAACACCAGCCCAGACATTGGCTCCAGAATCTGAATTGGCTCAGCCCTAACTGGGTATTATAGTTAATTATCTGCTGAAGTGTTGAAAAGATTAATGTGGGTTTGTGTATGTGAATTCTAAAATGGAAACATACTTTAACCACATCTAATATGAAACCTAGTATGTCGCACATTCTAAGAAGAGCTCATAAATTGGTTTTCTTTTATAGGACTCTTATTGAAATGCAGATTTGTTCCCAGATCATTCATTGAATTCATTCTAATTTTTGAACAGTATTTGGTGAAAGGAAAAATGAAGATATTAATGATATTTATCACTGACTCAGGCATTTAAATTAGGGCTGAGTTCCATAAAAATTGTTATAAATGTGGCTTCCAAGGGTGAAAGGAGAAAATATTGATTTCCTGTCTTTCTTTTCTTTCATCCTTGAATTAATTAAGATAAGAACTGGGCTTATTAAAAATACATAATATTAGTCACACATTCACGAGTAAGCTTCATTTTATATAACAGTTATGCTTCTAAAATAGGGTATCTCTAAGTTTTGGAAAATCAAGGTAAGCCTTAAGCATAAATAAGGAGCTTAATATTTTTTCCTTCAACTTTTAAGTTCTGGGGTACATGTGCACGGTGTGCAGGTTACACAGGAAAACACATGCCATAGTGGTTTGCTGCACTGATCAATCCATCATCTAGGTATTAAGCCCAGTATGCATTAGCTAAAGGGAGTTTATTGTTCAACAGAAACTTACAATTAGTATCATAAAATAATGAGCCATCTTACAAAATGAATGAGCACCTCTTTATGTTATGATGCTAGATTTTATACTAATGGTGTTTTTTTACTTTCTTAAGGCTAAGGTGGTAACTTTTCACGTTGTACGTACTCCAAAAATGCTATTATTCCAAAAATCATTGAGGAAATAATGTGCAGATGGGAGGTGGTATGGCGTACAAGAAGAAACAAATCCTTTCTTTCCAAGTTTTGGGTGTGACTTTAGATTAGTTTAAGTACTTTAACCTTATTCCTACTGCTCCAGGACAAGCAGATTCTGATGCCCTGGCTCCCTCGTCCAGTTTGAAGTTAGGCTAAAAACTCAAACAGCCTGCAGCAAGGAGCCTCCCTCACCTCACCTACCAGGCAGATTCCTTCCTGTACATCACTGACAGCCAGTACATCACTGACAGCCAAGTCTCACAAATCGACTGGCAGGTGTCACCTCTCAGTGTCCATGACATCACTCCCAGGTTTAACACGTACTCCTCTCTAGACTACTTACGATGAAGTCAAACTCCACATCTCATCCTCCACTGCGTTCTGGGCCTTCTCCATTTTACCCACATCACACTGTTGACATTTTCTTATGTCCTTTTTTTTTTTTTAAGAAAAATACATCTCTAAGTCTTTGCCCATGGTATTCAGGCTGCAGGTCAGGGCCTTCACCATCTGGAAAATACCTACTAACCTGCAAAACAGTGTTCAGGTGCCAGCTTCTCTGCATTGACTTTCTCCTCCCTTTGGGAGGGCTAACTGCCCCTATAGCACTTTGTACTTTGGTCATACTTCTATTATGGTACTAGGCACTCTGGCAATTTTCTTCTGCTTTTTCATTTTTGTTTTGCTTTGTTTGAGACGGAGTTTCGCTCTGTCACCCAAGCTGGAGTGCAGTGGCATGATCTCGGCACACTGCAAGCTCTGCCCCACCAGGGCCAAGCAATTCTCATGCCTCAGCCTCCAGAATAGCTGGGATCACAGGCATGGGCCACCATGCCCGGCCCTATTTTCCTTTTATATGTCTCTGTGTCCCCCTTCACTGGACCATGGGCTCCTCAAAGGTTCAAAGATAGGGACTATGTCTTTGGGATATTGGTATTGCCAAGGCCAAAAGTAATCCTGAATGCCAAATACCATTGCCTTGGTGTATTAGTCTGTTCTCGCGTTGCTATAAAGAAATGCCTGAAACTGAGGAATTTATAAAGAAAAGAGGTTTAACTGGCTCACAGTTCCGCAGGCTATACAGGAAGCAAAAAGGCATCTGCTCCTGGGGAGGCCTCAGGGAACATTTACTCATGGCAGAAGGCAAAGTGGGAGCAGTGTCTACATGGCAGAAGCAGGACTGTGGTGGTGGTGCCACACACTTTTAAACAACCAGATCTCGTGAGAACTCACCATCATGAGAGCAATGATGAGGGGATGGCGCTAAACCATTCATGAGAAACCGCCCACGATCCAATTACCTCTCACCAGGCCCCACCTCCAACACTGGGGATTACAATTCAACAGGAGATTTGGACAGGGATACAAAAATCCAAACCATATCAGTTGGTACTGAGATTTTTTTTATCAAGGCAATGGCATATAATTGGCAGGAATCAGGCTCCCGCAAAAGATGGAGACAAACCTTGTTAGCAGAACATTAAGAAAGTTCTATGTGAATCTAGAAATGAGATATCATCCTAATGATTATTAAAGAAAAATTTTACAAACTAAAAGAGGGAAGAGAAGTGTCAAAGTTTCTGTCCAATGGCAGACCTCAATATCGGCGTGGGAATAACATATATTCTGAATGTTGGGTTCTCCCAGGAGATGGAGGTTGCAGTGAGCCAAAATCATGCCACCACA